GTAGTCGTAATAGTAGTAGTAGTAGTAGTAGTAGTAAAAGCGGTAGTAGTATTACTAGTAGTAGTAGTAGTAGTAGTAGTCGTAGCAGCAGTAGTAGTAGTAGTAGTAATAGTAGTAGTAGTAGTAGTAGTAGTAGTAGTCGTAGTAATGGTAATCGTATTAGTAGTAGTAGTAGTAGTAGCGTTCGTAGTAGTAGTATCAGTAGTAGTAGTATTAGTAGTAGTAGTAGTAGTAGTAGTAGTAGTAGTAGTAGTAGTAGTAGTCATAGTAGTCATAGTAGTAGTAGTAGTAGTAGTAGTAGTAGTACTCAGGCCTTGTTGTAAAGATCAGATCCTAGCGTTTGCTTCAGTAGTCGCACGGTCGTACTGCAGTAGAAGTAGTCCACAACTGCTGCGCTCTAGAACAATCGTAGTACCCTCGAACGCTTAGCGTTTTAGCGGCATTGCTGTAGGAAAAGCGCTGTACCATTGTGGAAAAGTGCTGCACTGGTGTAGCAGTGGCACTGTAGGAGCAATACGCTAATACAGAATTCGTAAGAGCAGTACTGTACGATTGCTTGCAGTGGGCGTACCACATTATTGCAATAGGGATATTCCACTGCCGTCATACCGCCGCCTCGCTGTACTGTAGTGATGTAGTGGTGATACTGCAATAATCGTAGCACAATGCTGCAACAGAAGTATTGCAGCAGTGGTGCTCTAGTATTATACTTGTGGCGTTCTGATACCGTGCGAAGCCAGTAGTAGGATTGTATTTAACATGGCAGCACTGTAGTCGTCCTGTAGTTGCAGTGGTAGTACTCAGGTCTTGCAGTACAGACCGTAGTATTTGTTGTAGTAGTCGCACTGTATAGTTGTAGTAGAAGTTGTCCACTACTGTAGTACTCGAGCACGGTAGCAGCATCCTCGAATTGTAGCGGGTTGCTGGTAGTGTTGTAGAAAACTCTTGTACTATTGTGGAATAGTGTTGTTTTATGGTAGTGGCTTTGTGTAAGCAGGATTTCAGTACAGCTTTCGTATGAACAGTACTCGCTATAGTACTGCACGGGTAGTAGTATTATACATGCAGTAATAGTAGTGGAGCTCCAACATATGGAGTACCCAAGCACGGTAGCCGTACCCTAGTACTGTAGTGCCGCAGTAGCACTGGATTACTAGCATTCTATTGAAGTCGAAGTTATACTCTGGTACAGTATTAGTCGTAACGCTGCAATGGTGGCTGGAGGGCAGCACAGCATTGCAATACGTCCGCAGCTCGGCAGCATTATAGCACGGCCGTAGTGTTGTAGTAGTACTAATGTTGTGGGAGTAGCAGTACTATAGCACTTTAGTACTACTGTAGTAGTAATGCGATTGTAGTGATACCCGAGCATTGTGATAGCAATAGTAGGACTGAGGCTCAGGCTAGGCGTTGGCTGAGGCGGAGGCCGAGGCTAGGCTGAGGCTGAGGCTGAGGCTGAGGCTGAGGCTGAGCCTTATGTTAGGCTGAGGTTGAGGCTTAGACTGAGGCTGAGGCTTAGACTAGGCTGAGGCTTAGGACGGGCTTCGGCTAGGCTCATGCTAGGCTGAAGCTTTGGCTTGGCTGGTTCAGGCTGATGCTTAGGCTAGGCGGAGGCTGGTGTTTAGGCTGAGGCTGAGGCTTAGACTGAGGCACAGGCTTAGGCCATGCTGAGGCTTAGGATGGGCTTAGGCTAGGCTCAGGCTTGGCTGAGGCGTAGGCTTGGCCTGTTCAGGTTGATGCTGAGGCCAGGCGGAGGCTGGCGCGTAGGCTTAGGCGTGGGTTTAGGCCAGGCTTAGGCAGTGTTCAGGCTGAAGAATAGGCTAGGCTGAGGCTTAGGCTTAGGCCAGGTTTAGGCTAGGCTAAGACAGTGGCAGATGCTGAGGCTAGGCGGAGGCAAAGGCAGTGGTTGAGACATGGCTGAAGCTGAGGCTAGGCTGAAGCTGAGGCTTAGGTTTCGGTTTAGGCCAGGCTTCGGCTAAATCCTGTTTGGGGGTTAAGCTAGGCTAGGCTGAGGCCTAGGCTGGGCCTTGGCAGAGGTTTAGGCGGAGGACGGCGGAGAGAGAGAGAGAGAGAGAGAGGAGAGAGGGGAGGCACAGCGGGTATACCGCGCCGACACCAGCAGCAAGCAAACGACGCGCTCCGCTTACCACAACAAATCATTTAAAACGCAGGGGGGGATCCGGCCCCTGAACCGAGGGCGCTGGAGCAGCAGAGCAGAACTGACACATGGGATCAGGAGTTCAGTTTGCCGCCCACGGTCTGCGCTGCGGCCGCTGACCAGCACTCCTGCTCCGACGCGTGGAGTATGCGAACGCGCGGTCAGCAGCGAAATCAACGCCTTGATTGCGCTCTGACTTGGCCCCTGCATTTGCAACTTGCCGAGGCGCTGCACTAGGGCGGCTCTGAGTGACGCCAGGGGGGCAACTGCTCTACTCGTCTCAACAGCAATTGGAACGCAAATTCGCTGTAACGCACGATACATAGCACGCGTGGCGGCAACGAGTTCTCTGGGAGCGTCTTTCTTTCCACCCAACCACTGGAAGCAGCAGAAACTGTCTACAACGTTGCCAACGTGCACGCGCGGGCGCGCAGCACACGCGCGTTCCAGGGGCAACGAAAACATAATTGGCAACGCACACGCAGCAAAATGACAGCATAGGAGCACAGCCTGCAACGTCAGAGCGGGGTCCGAGACTGCATCGTTAAGCGACAAGTTCACAAGCAACTTTAGCTGGCGCACTGGACACCATGGCGCGACGGCTGCGCACAGCAGCTCGGCGCGCTTGATTCTCTCGAAACCCTTCAGCAGGCCCAGGAGAATCGACGCAATGGAGACGCCTTTTGCCTCGACCCCACTCGGCAGAACAGCTTTGGACCCAAACGAGCTCGTCGAAGGCGGTGGTGCTCACTCTGCCACATTGAAACAGGACGCTCGCGAAGGCGGCACTGCACGCGGGCAAGGACGTGGACGAGTGCGATGGGCCTGAGACCGCCGCATCGCCCGGCAAGGAAGACCACGCCCCCCCCCCAAACCTCGAGCAACACATCGATCAAGGCTTCAAGCGCGAAATCAGAAAGGTCGAGGAGTTGACGGAGGGCAAAGCTGTTCCCACCCACGCCCCGACCTCCTGCGGAAACTGTAAATACAGTTCGTGGGTTCTTGCAGAGTGGGGCGCTCGAACACGGGTCCGAAGTCATCTTGCCAGATTACGGCATCGCGAGATCTTCCAACCTCCCACAACTCCGACCAGACCCTGCTAAGCAACTCCACCTCACGGAAGCGCGCAAGGCGCGCCACCTGCGTCGATATAGTTGGCGCGCCACAGTGCGTGCGGGGGGGGGCGCAAAAAAAAGGCGACGGCTCCGACCAGACTGACCCAATATCTCAAACCAGCGAGCTTGCTTGACTCAGCCGATCTGCGTATTAGGACTGCCTTGCACCTGGCGGCCTTTCGGGCACCGGCAGCAAGCTCATACGGCAAAGACCTAGCGAACGACAGCAGCAGGCGCCAAGGGTGAGTTTCTGACTCGTCGACGCCACTCCTCATAGCTCTCTCATTGGAACGTTCGCGCCAGCTCCAGCGTTGGGCGGTGGACGGCGGCCGAGCACGTCTTGGCAGCGAGCTACTTGTCTCCACCAAAGCGCAGCCGGCTGAGCCTGGGGAAAGCGATTGGCCGCGGCGCTCGTGGAGCCTTCTCGCACACCTGCAAGGGCAGGGCGCGCCCGAAAAAGGCGGGCTCCTGCTGCGGATCTATGTCGTGCAAACCCGTTCCGTCAATCTCAGCCGTTGCGATCCACGTGCGCCGTCCGTGATCTACAACGAGAGAGGCTGCCCGCTGCCGGCACGCCCGGAGCCAAAGCGAACGCCAACTGGAAACCTCTCGGGCAACTTGGCAACGCGATACTGCAGACTGCACCCGTCAAGAGGAGGCAGGCGCATCAAGACTGGGAATTGTGGCGACACCCCGCCATCGGCGACGACCTCGACGGGGGGCCCGTGCGCGAGAACTGCTGAATGTCCGCGCGTCGAGCCAGGTCGTCGAGACGACCGGCCACCTCATGCAGTCAGGCGCTGGAGGCAGATCCTGAACAGGGTCGGCATGGGCACCTCCAGCAGGATCGAGCTTGACCTCACGATGCTGGAGGCCGGGCGCGGGGTGCCAGGGGTCATCGGGCGGCATGTTCGTTGGTTGTGCAGTCCCCGCAGCGAGCTTCGCGAGCTTTCGCGAGGTGTTGCCGCTACTGTTGGCCGATGCCGCGTGCTTCGAGAAGCTCAGGGTTGCCTGATCTCGCGACTCCCAGAGCGTGCCAAGCGAGGTCGACCCACGCCACGGCTCAGGTTGCTTCAGTGGCCATGGGTATCGCGTGTGCCCAGGTCGGCTGATGGTTGCCTGATCCGACTCTCGCGCTGCCCCCCAGGCCAGAGTGGCTGAAGCAGATCCCGCAGGCGGCTATTCAGGTCGCGTCTAAGCAGGAGCGGTTCAAGATCGGCGCGAAGTTGGCGGAGCTGGGTTTGGCAACGCCCTTCTCCTACTACGACTGGGTCTTCAAGGTCGGGAACGGCGAACTCCTCGCAGGCGACCCCGGAGGGATCAACGGCGAGACGCCTGCGCCCAGCCATGGACGCGCTCAGTGGCTCACCATCGACTTCCCGTTCGAGAGCTACTAACGCAACGTGCAAGACGACTTCGAAACCCCGTGCGCCTAGCCATCGCGGGTGACCATCCCGCTGCCAGAGGGACACGCGCTGCCCTGGCTGTCTCACGGCCGGGCTTTAGGGTCCTACTGCCTCGAGTGGCCGGCGGCGCGGCAACCGTAAACGTTTCTCGCTGAGGTTGTCCTGGACGAGCTCATCAGCGTGCAAGGCGGTGGCAAGATTCACCTCACGACGCGCGGCATCCTTAAGGGGTGGGTCGTTGCCGCCACTGTCTCCCAGCACTGCTGCCGACGCCTGGGGGTTGACAGGCAACCGCTGGCGTAAGGGTTAGCCGCAGGCCAGGAGTTGCTCGAGCCAAAGGCAAGGAGCTGGAGCTGCAGATGTACGCCCGCATCGACGACTGGGACATCGGCGAGTTTGTGCTCGGCAGTCTGGAGGGGGATGTTGGCGGCACGGTCAGCGCGGCACGCCACGGACGGGACGCCAGCGCGACCCCCGGCAAGACCAAGCACAGGGCGCTCGAGCTCGAGCGGGTGGGCGCTGACCTTCGCGGCGAGGTGAGCCGCGTCAACGTGGCCGCTGCGAAGCCCCATCTCGTCTTGGGCACCCCAGGGCCCAGGTCGACCCGTGCGACATCCCTACCGACGCGAGCGAGCAGGTCGGCGGCGTCGGTCACACGGGCTTGTGGTTTGTGCAGGATGTGTTCAGCACGGCGGTGGAGTCACGAGCGGAGTTCTCGCGCGCGCAGCGGGCGATCCTGGCGCTGGGGTCAACGCGAAGCATTTCACACACGGCCGTCGCCCGAGGCTTGTCTGGCGCAGTTTGCTGGTGGCTGCCCATCTCTCGCCTTTTTCCGCGGCTGTCCGCAACGGTGAGAGATTTGCTCAGTGCTACAATCGGGTTTGAAGGACGAGCGGATCCCACGGATGGTCGCATCACACTGGGTGGACAGTCCTCGGCCTGGCCATGAACTATCTCTGCGTCACCAGGCCGTTCATCAGGAATCACCCTCCTCTCCAACTCGTTCCGCTCGTGCGCGCGGCAGAGGTAGCCACGCAGTCTCGGGTCGCAGTCGGCTACGGTAACCATGTCAACAACTACAAGGATGGCAGCCTCGCGCGGGGCGCGGCGCGCGAGTGGGGCCGGCTACCTGCCCCAGAAGAGCGCAGTGTACCCATGGGATTTGATCGGCTGCACTTCCGAGATGTGGAAGCAGCGTCACATCGGCAGGACGAGACGTCATCATCGGGGGGTTCTCGTTGGCACTACGTTCCACGCGCAGGCCATGTCCGTCCTTTTCGCCTCCTGGCTGGCTCCAGTGGGCGCGACGGCGGCCGCCACCTGGGCGACGGTGCATATGTGATCGAGCGTAAGGGCGGTGCGGCACGGCCTCCGCTGGCTCGACGCCTTACTCCTTGCGGCCAGGGATCACCCGCTCCACCACTACTGCGACATGGGCGACTGGCCAGCAAATGCGCCATCGAGGGGGAGCCTCGGCAGCTACAAAGGTCAAACGAGCGGCAGCAAAGGCAGCAGCACGGCGGACAGCGGCGCGTCAGCGGCCGTTGCGAGAGGCGATGGTCACGCCTCTCACGCTGGAGCGCTACAAGGCGGCCGTCGCTGATGTCTGCGACTTCCAGGCGACGGAGCGACGAAGCACCAAGACGCCAGTTCAGGTCGATGCAGATTTGTCTGCCTTTACCGAGAGCCGCTGGCAGCAGGGCGGCTCGCTGTTTGAGGTGAACAATGTTATCGCCGGCATGTGGCATCAATTCCCGCCCGCGCGTGGCCACCTGCGAGAGAGCTGGCGCGTTGCCAGTACATGGCAAAGGCAAGAGCCAGCTGGCCGCGCGCTGCCCAACAAATCCCATCACAGCAGCGGCTTTCGCATGGGCATTCGCGGTCGTGGGCCAGCTGGGGGCGGCAGCGGTGTTGGCGGCCGCGTACGGCGCGTTCCTCCGCACAGGTGAACTTGGCACGCTGCGGTGGAGCGACGCGCAGCTGCACCTTCCCCGGCAGTGCGCCGTGCTGCAACTGCGATGGACTACGAATCAGCATCGGTCGGGTGCTCGTGAATTCGCCATGGCCAGGAGCAGCATCGCCGTAAGACTTCTTGCCAAAGCGAAGGCTGCAGCAGCACCGGACAGCGCGTGCCCAGGCATGGAGCCGCGTGCCTTCCAGCAGCTGGTCACGCATGTGAGGGAGCTGCTGGGCTTCCAAACTCCAAACTCGCGCTCTACAGCTGGAGGCGAGGTGGAGCCTCAGCGGACTTCAAGAGCCACGGCTCCATGGAGCAGACGCTGCCGCGAAGGCGACAGGCCTCGGTGAGGATGGCATGGCTGTACGTCCAGGACGCCGTCGCCGAGGCCACAACGCTGAATGTGTCAGCGGTGCAATTCCGACGCTGCGAGTGGCTTGCAGCACGTTTGCGAGCGGAGGCCAGCTACAGAAATTGCTCCCTGTTTCCTATTGCTTTTAGCTTGTCTCGTCTGCACCCACCCTGCATTCAATATGAATCCCAAGGTATAGGCGGCTTGGGCCGGAAGTCCGTAGAGAGCCAAACGGCGCGTGACTGCAGGACTGCGAGGGCGCAGCCCATCCTTGGTCGCGCAGTTGGGGATTACCCAGTGTGCGCGGCGTACGGGAGAGGTTTCTTCGCACTCCTGTTGTTTGGCCATCTGGCCCCAGGGCAGTCTGGCTAATCAAGTTCCCACATGAAGGGCATAAAAAGGGCCGGGCCAGATGAGAAGATGGTATCCTCGAAGGGGGTATCTGCTAGTTCGCTCGAGAGAGCGCGATGCCGTTGATGTCTATCGGTGGTACACACCCTACAGAACGGGACGGTTTCTGTCAAGTCTTATTGCGCCCGCGGTAATCGCCTTCGCGTGTGGAGAGCCAGACTTGATAGCCAGACGGTGCGCGGCAGCGGGAGTGTGAGGGTGCAGCCCATCCCTAGTCGCGCAAGTGGGGGCGCACGGGACGGGCTTATTCGCGTTGTTGTTGTCTGGCCGTCCAGTTCCAGGGCATTCTGGCTATCAAATCTCCAGGTGGAGCGGACAAATAGGGGCATGACGAGCATAAATATATATATATATATATATATATATATATATACATATATATACACATATAGATTGTACATACACACGTATGTATACACGTGTGTGTGTACAGAGAGGGAGAGAGAGAGAGAGACAGAGAGAGAGAGAGAGAAAAAAAAAAAAAAAAAAAAAAAAAGAGAGAGAGAGAGAGAGAGGGAACGACAGAAGGAGAGGGAGAGAGAAAGAGAGAGAGAGAGATGAAGACAGAGAAACAATTGCCTGCTATGTCTATATATAGAGAGAGAGATGCGGCGCGTGCCAGGCATAGGTGGAGACGGCGTACATGTACCGCGCGGGTGCGAGTATGATAGCAGCCTCCTCTTGTGTCGTGAATGCTTGTTTCATTGTGCCTCAATCGCTCGTCACTCGTCCTCCCCCTTAATCTGCATGTACTGAACTATGTTCACGGATTCGTTGTGTTCAATGTTTGCATATCTTTTTACATGTCCCCCTTGTCCTTGTTTCACCCTGTTGGGCATCGCAGGGCGAACCATATCTTCCGACGACGTCCGATGTACGTTGGATCTGTCACACACACATGATCAATACCACGTACGGCGGACTGGGCTTGAATCTTCGCCATATCACAAAAGGGAAAGGAGGAGGAGGGTCAGCAGGATAATATGGCTCGGTTGAAGAACACACATCTCTTGGCAATCCGCCTTGCATTTATAAACATCGACTAGTTTGGTTGATGGTTCTTGGCAGCGTGGCAAAACACGCCTGCACAATGCCAATTACATAAAAGCTTGTACAGGAGAACCCACCTCAGAGTGGCTCTAGCTGTGCGTGAGCTTATCAGTTGCAAGCCAGCACCTATCCGCACGGTGCAACGCCTGTCTACCCCCGTGCTCGTATCACTCATGAGCGAGCCCGGCAGCAGTGCATGTTCTGAACGCCCGTTGCGGTTTTTGTGGCGTTAATATTCATCTTTCCTCTCGTCACCACTTTCTGTTCGCACGCCCTCTGGAGCCACGGGCCCGAGCATCGAAGCGCGCGCGAAGGGAGGAGTAGTGAGCCGGGGAAGGCGGCCTCGCAGCAGGTGCCCGAAAGAAGGGGGGGGGGCGCCCTCAAACGAGGGGTTGGTAGGTTCGTGCCGTCTCGGCACGGCGATCCCTAAACGGCCTGTGGCTACCTACGAGAGCGGAGTTATTCCAATACTGAACCCATCCCGCGGTGGCAGAAGCCAGAGCCCACGCCGTCATACCTTGAGCTTGCCGTACACCCCCGCCTGTGCGATAATGTGTGCCTCCTCCCGCACCCTCGATATCCTTCGGCACTACCTCTTCGAGACATGGCCCCCAGACATCTAGATCCCCTCTCTGGGGCCCGCTTTTCATCCTCAGTGTTTGTCATGGCCCTGTGGCTCTAAGTTGGCCCCCAGGGCCACAAAATGGAGAGAAGCTTGCCGTTGCGTTTTTCCGAGCAGCCGGATGTCTGAGACCCCTGGTGCTCCCCAGACTTCCGACGTCGTCATTTACGCATGATGCAGGCCCCAGAGATCCAGCTCTCGACCCCGCCTCCGCGGACTGGATTCTCTCGGCGGGCCGCTTGCCGCCCGGAAAGGGCCCCTCGGACGCCGAAATCGCGAGAAGACGGCCGTGGCGTTCTCTTTCCCACTTTTTCGCGACGCCGGGAGTGGTCTTGGGTCTCAAGGTCGGCTCCCAGAGCGCGTTCTGACCAGGATCCCAGTGCGAATCAAGCAGTGGTCACGAGGACACCCGAAAACCTCCGAACAAACAAGATCGACACCGACGTCTCCGCGTTCGGTCTTGGTCATGGTCCTGCCCCCACCCCCCATGGGGCTGCGCACATGCCTCGGCCCATGATTTGGGAACCCCCCTCCTTGGACGCGCCTGACATTGGGGGATCGAGGATCGGTCGAGGTTTGCTGCGGGCGTCTGCGCCTCACAGTCCTTTCCTCCACCCTCCCCGCGCTTGCCTACAGCCTCGACGCCCAGACCTCCGACGCCGTGGCCCCCTCGCTTTTTCAGGGGCGCAAGGGGTTATGATGATACTAGTGATAGAATGTCGAATGCGAGTACTAGTGTTAATACTAAGAATACGGATAGTCATCATCATTATCAGCATAATCAGCATCAGCATCAGCATCAGCACCAGCATCATCACCATCATCATCACCAGCATCATCCTCAGCAGCAGCATCAGCATCAGCATCATCATAGTAGTAGTTGTTGCAGCAGTAGTAATAAAAAATATCAACAATACGAATAATAGTAGTGGTAGTAGTAATAATATGAGTCGTATGAGTAGTGATAGTAGTCACCTTAGTAGTAGTAGTAGTCGTCGTCGTCGTCGTCGTCGTAGTAGTCGTAGTAGCAGTTGTATTACTAGTAGTAGTAGTAGTAGTAGTAGTAGTAGTAGTAGTAGTAGTAGTAGTAGAAGAAGTAGTAGTAGTAGTAGTAGTAGTAGTAGTACCAGTAGCAGTAGCAGTAGCAGTAGTAATAGTAACAATAGTAGTGGTAGTAGTAGTAGTAGTAGTAGTAGTAGTAGTAGTAGTAGTAGTAGTTGTAGTAGTAGTAGTGGTAGTAGGAGTAGGAGTAGTAGGAGTAGTAGTAGTAGTAGTAGTAGTAGTAATAGTTCTAGTAGTCGTAGTAGTAGTAGTAATAGTAGTAGTAGTAGTAGTAGTAGTAGTAGT